CAATTTCAGGCGATTTTGGGTTCAGCAAATTTGGGCGATTTTGGGCAATTTTAGGCATAGGTTTTCTGGTGAAGATGGTGAAGATGGCGAAGAAAGAAAGACCGAAGGTTGGTGAAGAAGAGTGAAGAAGAGGAACAATTGGATGGGTGAACTAGTGAGCCGGTGAACTGGTGAACTGGTGAAGACGGTGAAGAAGGGCAGGGCAGGCGCTTCGTGTGGTTCAGGGAAAATAAGCATGAGGAAGAAAGAAAAGGAAATAAAAGAAAGAGTTAAAAAAAAAAATGGTCCCACTTGTCTAAAAAAATTAATAAACAATAAGTTGGATATTTGACCGTTAGTAATTAACGGGTCAAATTAATGGAAGTGTGGATGGCATCCCATTAGGGATGACATTGAACAAAAAATGTGTAGTAGAGGGATGACATTTATACTGTTAAGGAAAGTAGAAGGACAACATCGAACATTTCCTTAGTAGAGGGACGGTAACGAACAATTTCACAAAGTACGAGGACTACAGTTGGCTTTAACCCGATAAATAGATGAGCGGTTGCTGAAGGAATAGTGCCCGAGCGAAAGCTCCTAGTATTCCTCAAAAAATTTTGTGGCATGGGTGGAGCCCATAAGGTAAGGTGGAAAAAAAGAAAAAACTAAAAAAAAAGCTAACCGGATGTGACCGTTTGCACTTAACTGTCAATAAACAGAACCGTTCACTTACAGTAGCCAGAGGGATGACATTTGTATGCTTTTGCATTGTAAAGAGATGACAGGTAAGGTTACTTAATGGTAGAAGGACGACATGAAGTCAATTCACAGTAAAAAGTTTAAAATGCACTATTTTTTATAGTAGAGGGACGATAGATGGCTTTAATCCAATACAATACAATACAATCCAAGCCCAACTTGTACAGTTGACAGCAAACATGGATCCACGCGGTCCTGCCAATAGCATTGCAGAAAAAGGAGTAGTGAGACACGTGGCGAAAATTAATAAAAATTATAATCTTAACTTATATTTAAAAATTAAAATATCAATTTAAAATTTTAATTAATTTTTAAATTTAAATATTAATATTTAATAAGATAAATTTTTAAATTTTAAATTAAATTTTAATTAAATAAAATAACATAATTTAATGTTAAAATTCTAATTTATTTTGAAA